TCCTGTAAGTATATTAAGTATAGTTTATAAACATTTATATTCAAGGTAAACTTAAAAAACACTACTTACGGTATATTTTCAATAAATACACACCGAAATCACCAGCCCAAACAATAACACACACGATTGTCGTGACGTATTTTTGAAGTTGTTTATTTTTTTAAATGACAGACCCAGGCATTAAAAATTTTATGGTTTGCTAGAGTAGTTATCGAAATAGCAATTAATATTAGTTCTTTTACCTGTTTTAACTTCGATATCCGATAAATCGGTATAAAATTATCATCGGCACCTCTAGATGTGGTATGCGTCTACGGCTGCATGTATCGCGTGAGCGGATATATGTTTTTACTGTTTTTCTAAATTAAAAACAGTCGCGGGTAGTGGCGGAATTCGCGGAAAATTTGCGAAAATGGCGTAAAACAACTGAAGGTCGCGAGGAAGAAAACTGACGAATCCTACCAAAATGCACAATGTAACGACTTAAAAATGGTTTTAATACAACTCATGTTGAATAGTTTTGTGTTTGAGTGATATTTGACTTACAAAATTAATTTAAATTCCTTAAGTAGGCCGATTTTTCATCAGCTTTGTCTGGGAAAAATGTGTAAAAGTTCTTTGATCATAAGCACTGTTTACTCGATGGTAGTAGGTATGCTTAGCAGGGTAATGGATGAAGTGAGGATAGGTGAGGTAAATAATCAAGACAAGTAATAGTAGAAGCACTACTCGATACAAACACATTTATTACAACCACTATTCTGCCCTGCTAAGCCGAAAGGCGCTATCTCTGAGATACGCCCTTTTAGTTTTTTTTATACCATTACATAGCTATAATAATTTCGCATCTAATGGTATAATAGAAATAGCGCTACCTAACTTAAGACATTTAAAAAACGACTAAGAAATATTTTTAAATAAAATACAATTAGGAAATGAAACTATTTTTCCGGATTTAAATCGCGTATATTTGTTTCTCTAAACAAACCGACGTTTCGGGCCCTTTACAGGTCCCATGGTCATTGTTGACTGGGACCTGTAAGGGGCCCGAAACGTCAGTTTATTTGAAAAAACAAATATACGCGATTTAAATCCAGAAAAATAGTTTCATTTCCTATGTGTGACAATCGCGAAAACCTAAGAACTCGATAAAATACAATTACATAAAATGCAATTTACAAAAAGTCGATTTTCCCAAAACTTACTCATATTGTGATAGCGCTTTACGGCTTATCAGGGCAGTATTAGCGGATTTCGTTAATAATAATAATAAATAAAATTGTTTATTGAATAACTTATTGTACAAATGAATAACTAAAAACAAATTATGCGAATAAATGTAAAATATAACGCATATACCTGAACTAGGAGAATCCTGTATTTCAGGTAAAAAGTACCAATTATACAGGTGGATATATGATTAAATTACAAACAAAAAAATAATTAAACAATAAAATGCATATCATATACCTATTACGCGAATCATATACCTATTAGACAACATTTATTTTGGGATAATTAATAATTCTCTGTATCATCGTAGACATATTTTGAAGAAATTTTTGGAAAATTTCCTTCACCTTTATGTAACAAAAACAACTTATACGCCAAATTAGCCATATAACAAAAATGATATATGGCTAATTTGGCGTATAAGTTGTACAAAAACGGCCCAAGAAACACAAAAAATCTGGAAATAAACACATGTTTTTATTATACAATTTTTTTTCTTTCTATAACAAAATTCATTAATCCCTACACGGAACACTTTGTATTCACAATTTCGTTTCACACTATTTGTAAATTATGATGGGCACCGGCGCGTTAGAGCCATTGTACGTGAGCTAATTGGCCTATCTTAAAAAAAAATCGAATTGTCTAACCAGCCTAGGCTGCATCTAGATGCAGAAGAGCATTAGCTGGTTCTAGGCATTGTTGCTAAGAGAGACCGTGGTGTACCACGAGTTTGATGTCTAATGTCGTCTATAGTGGTGTAGTCCTGGAGCACATGTGCGTTCCAACCGCAAAATTTTCAGATTTTGTTAAAAACGTTTTATCTATCATTGAATATATGCCCGTTCCTGAGTTCTTGTGAAGATCTGTAAACAATATCATATTAATCTATTTAATAATAATGCATAAAAGTACAATAATAATAACGCACACACTCAACATAGCCCCGTATTAGGGAAACCCTGTGTCGCGGGTGCCATGATCACACACACAGACAACCACGAGTTACAACCAAACTCACGAGAGAAATAAATGTAGGCCATACTAAGAGCCTGGAACCTCTGCGTGGCAGTTTAAATAATTTACTCCTAAGGTTAAATAAAAAGTAACCAATTTCCACTTACGTCGTTGAGACAGATGGGATTGCTGTCAGGTTCAACAGACGGATATACGGACAATTGAAAAGGCATCGGCGAGATTTAGAGATAGCCCCTTTCTTTATTAACTTTGGGTAACCTAAAACAAATAACATTACGAAATGATGCATTCATATACGTCTACGTGCGAGGGTGTGTATTCGTATGCGAGCGAGAGCACACGTGTATGCTTGAGTAACTTCGTGCTAGGTATAACAGGGTATGCGCGCGAAAGTATTTGGTGTGTTAAATGTGTCCATGCTAGTTAGTGTTGATTGATAAACATGTCGTTGTGACGGCCGGTCATACAAATGCATCGTCAATCGCTCAGGGCGCTCTGGCTCACACTAATCGGCGCGGACTCGTCGCGCGGTATTTATGTGCGCGCGCTCCGCCAGCCCAGTCGAATCGCCGCGATGTTTCCATGTTTGTGTTTTGTTTGTAACCAAGAGCTACGGAATTCACTCCGCGGCACTACCCAGAGCACCTAGGCCAAAACCATTTTAGAAAAGTACATTTCAAAAATTCGTTCTACCGGTAATGAAACCCGGGACCTCAACAACCACGCAATATTATTTACATGTATAATCTACAAATAGTTTAAACACGACCACTTATCCATAAAGTAGATGCAGCAAGTTGTCGAGCTTCGCCGGGTTGTCGAGCTTCGCCGGGCGCACTTTATAATATGCATTATAATATAGAACATACTGTCTACTAAATAAAGTATATATTGCTTCTATCGAAAGACATTTTGCTTGGCTTTGAAAGAAATATCGACTTTGTTCAGTATATTACATATATAATATTATACTTCTACGCAATCTGCCTTTCAAAGAAATATACCTTATTGTTGAGAATCTAAGTTACACTTTGTATTGTCAGAGGCGAGTGGGCGTAGTCGTGACATGCGACGCCGCGCGGCTTTAATGTTTTGTTTTTGTTGTTTGAAGAAATGTATACTTTATTAAGAGGGAGCATGCCTAAAATGTTTTGACGTTGGCTCCGCCCAAATTTGTGAAACAAATATATGCCTGAAGTTCGCGTGACATGCGACAGGAGATGTTGAATTTTACGCATTAAAGTACCAAATTCGTTTTAGCGGAATAACTCTAAAACTAAAGGGATTAAAAAAAAATCCGTAGTGGCAGTTGTCGATCATGCATAAATATAATTAATTATCTAATTTTTGTCCTAATAACCTGTAGCATTTCGAGGATAAATCGAAAAAATCTCGTGATTTTTATCTATGGAGGAAACTTTATTGTTTTATGTTTCTGATTAATGTCTATGCTTGAATATATCGTGTAGTTACTCATACAATATTTTATTTTTAACTTTAAAGTGGATATACCCCACTAAAATCAAATCGAAGATTAGGATTTTTTCCTCTGCTCCCTCTTAAATAAAGAATATTATGTTCTATATAGTATATTGCATTTTATGAAGTGCGCCCGCCACACCTCTCTGCTTGAAGCAGCTTCGTTTTTATATGTTTGTTTAATGAAATGTTGCCTTGTTTTGTTGAGAATAAAATTTATGTTGCATTGCTCGCTTAAATAAAGCGCTGCGCCCCGCCGCGCCACATCGCCGCGGTGTGAATCAACGCTTTCCTAAGCGTGGAAATTATAGTTAAGTAAGACAGAATGGAAAATAAAGTGTGATTTATTCCTGATCAAGAGTTTCACTACAAAGAACACCCACCACTAAAAACAAATAAATTGTTTACGTAAAGCTCACATTAACTAGCATTTTGAGTGTAGCTTTAGTTACATGCTTTTATATAAGAAGAATGAACTTTTATTTTACACATAAAATTAATCACCCATTTAACAAAAAATATAAAATTTATCAAATACAACGGGTTTGTAACCGGCCTTATTTCCAAAGATGGCCTTCACTGGACGGCCGTACCCGCCAGCTTTTTTCATACAAAATTACGAAACTCGGAAATATCAATGAATCCTGCATGTAATGAAAACGTAATATGTTATTCTAGTATAATTGATTTAAAATTTCTAATATAATATTATTTTGTAGAAAATTAAATCAATATTTATATAATGTAATCATGAACAGGACCGGCAATGGCCTGATTGAGTAGCATCAAGTTTCGAAGCTGCTTTGTATTAGAAATATTTATGTTAGATTATGTCTTATTCTACGACGTAATTATATTATTAATGAATTAATCAAATTCATAAAAACGCTACTTACGGTATGTTTTCAATAAATAAACACCGAAATCACCAGCCCAAACAATAACACTCACACGATTGTCGTGACGTATTTTTGAAGTGATTGATGAAATGACAGACCCAGGCATTAAGAACTTTATGGTTTGCTAGAGTAGTTACCGAAATAGCAATTACTACTAGTTCTTTTCCTTATTATAACTTCGATATCCGATTAATCGGTATAAAATCATCACCGGCAACTCTAGGTGTGCTATGCTTCCTGAGACGCACGAAACGCGCAACGCTCTGTGCAGCATTCGTCCACGGCTGCATGTATGGCGTGAGCGGGTACTATTCCAATTTTCTAATTTGTGATTTCAGCGCAAACGAGAGTTGATATTTAACAGTAACATAAGGCCCATTTACCTGATGAGTTGTCAGGGATCGATGGTCCTTATTTCGTCTCTATTTCTGGTTAACTCAATGCTCTGAACGCTCTGATACTTTTGATGCCGACTGTAAATACATTTGCTATTGTTCATTATTACAATTACAATATATCAGATTTTTAGTGAATACAAGACCATAACTCTAAGTCCGAACTTAATTCAAAATAAGAAGCTCGTGTACGTTTTGGTCATAGTCGTGAAGCTTCAGTTCCTGTGGGCTTTCTGATTCGAGATTATTAATCTTCCTGACAAGCCAAAAAGTTTCCATAGTGCCTTTGCCCTGTAAAAAATAAACATTCCATTTAATCTAAAAGAATGACAATATGTGCCAGATAATAAATGAAAATGATAAGACAGCGCCAGATTTTTTGTACCTACATACTGCCGTCCACTAAGTGACAAAACTTTTTTTTGAGATATCTTGAAAAACCATAACCCAGTTGTCGAATATTGAAATTGATCGTTAGGTTAAGTTCCGATAACACGTTAATATTGACTGTTTTTAAAAGAGAATTTTGTGCTCTATTTTTTGTTATTGAAAACGGATATTTGACCATTGATCACTTAACCGCGTTTTACTTAGTGGACGGCAGCATAATGAACAGACGATTTAAACATTGTATAAAATTCCTAGTTATTAATTCCAAATAACAGCACATAAATAGTTTAACGATCTTCTAGTAGTACTAAATGTTTTGCAACTACCAGTAGAGCTATCGATCATATTTTGCAACAATATGGAGAATGGCGCCGTTTTTTACTGAGTAAATAGGCGGCAATGACCATTTACAAATCATATCCATAACTGCACCACGTCTGATCACGATTCGCGAGGAACTAAACGACAATTCATCCGCGACAGATTTCGTCTGCATGCGGACAGTCCGCGTCGCACTGCGATGGCCCTAAGGTTGTGGTCCAATGAACCCTCGTTTTAGGGCTCTTGACTACTAAACATATTATGCATGGATCACAATTTTTATATTTTCGTCGACTCAGAAAATAAATTTGTAACCTTTTTAAATTTAACTGCCTCCGTGGCGGAACAGTTACCATGCCTGCCACTAAGAGGCCCCAGGTTCGATTCCTGGGCCGGGAGAAATATTTGTATGGACTATTGATTTCTCTCGTGAGGTTGGGTGTAATTTGTGATTGTCTATGTGTGTGTCTATGGCACCCGCGACACAGGGTTTTCATAGTGCGGGGCTATGAGTGTGTAAGCGGTGTTATTATTATCCTCATCCCAAGGCCTAAAAGATTATTATTATTATAACCACAGCGGGCGCTTACTTTGAAACTTTGGAATTTTATTAATTTAATGACCTTACAAAAATTAGTAACTTTTAATAAATCATTATAATATGTTATAATTAATGAAAGATAATTAATTAATTTAATAAATGTGTAACTAAATGATATTTAATATTAGTTAAGTAAACTGTCATTGTCAAATAATAATGTTATTTATCCGCTCACGCGATACATGCAGCCGTAGACGCATATCACACCTAGAGGTGCCGGTGATGATTTTATACCGATTTATCGGATATCGAAGTTATAACAGGTAAAAGAACTAATATTAATTGCTATTTCGGTAACTACTCTAGCAAACCATAAAGTTTTTAATGCCTGGGTCTGTCATAAAAAAAATAAACAACTTCAAAAATACGTCACGACAATCGTGTGTGTTATTGTTTGGGCTGGTGATTTCGGTGTTTATTTATTGAAAACATACCGTAAGTAGCGTTTTTTAAGTTTACCCTGAATATAAATTTTTATAAACTATACTTTAAGGAGTAATTTCATTGTAAACGTTAGAACCACTCAAACGGAATATTATCATATTTATCCAAGTACACCAAAAATTTCATTAATGCTTTTTAAGTGCAGGATTTGCAGTGTGTTACTGCATTTTATTGGAGATGTTTTTGTTGGTAGTACGGAGGGTATTTATTTAGCAATGCAGAATAATAATTTTTATTTATAAAAACTTGTATTTAAACTGAATCCTTTTCTATTTTGCGAAACCAAATAGCCGCCATTTTGCGGTAGGAGGAGCGCATCGCGTGAGCGGGTAAGCTATACCTGCTAATATAATTTATTGTATTCTATCCGTACCTTGCATGTTTTGTGTATCTGTAAATGTAAGTGATGGATTTTTATTAAATAGATAAATGAATATTGTTTGTAATTTTAACCAGTTCCACAGCATTCTTAATGACGGCTCTGCAGTTTATCCATTCATACTATAATTAATCCGTCCACATTTAGGTGGTTTTGTGAAAAAACGTTTACAAATATAAAATACTCACCGCAACATTAATTTCGCCTCGCGGTTGAATCTCGTAGCCACCAATTTGATCTAATGCCATTTTCGTCGAATAGGATATGTGAATTTTCATAGCTGTAACAAATAAATAATAAATAAAATGTTTATTTCAGTAACAGTGGATAGTACCTCTTATTAAGCTTATCAGGCCTGTGTCAGGAGGTACCGTTCTTCCATAGCTCTAAATGCGCATTTTACATTTTTAAGTTAATAATAATAATAACGCACACACTCAACATAGCCCCGCACTAGGGAAACCCTGTGTCGCGAGTGCCAAGGACACACACATAGACGACCACAAATTACACCCAAACTTACGAGATAAATAATTGTAGGCCAATATTTCTCCCGGCCCGGGAATCGAGCCTGGTACCTCTGCGTGGCTGTTCGCATGGTAACTGTTCGGCCATGGAGGTACGTTTGAACTGTAGTCATTTTGATATAAGTTTCTTGCAGTCTCTATAACTTTTGGCGTATATTTCTAATTCCTTATTAATTAAATTATGCGGATGACTATTAATATAAAGATCGAACACATAGAAAAACTTTTTCGACTCGATGGGACTTGAATACCCGACCAGCAATACTATGGTGCTAGCTACTGGCCTACGGGTCAAGTTATGGAGTAGTCGAAACTCCCCATGTGTTTTTGATAAAGATATTTGTATTGCATTTTTTGGCATTCTGCGCCGCTAGTGACACTTCGTGAGAGATTTTAGAACCTTTTTCGCCGCAGCCAGAGCTACACGGTAATCAACACGTATACGTACGTTGTCTCTTGCGGCCGTTAAAAATAAATAAATTTGCCTAGACACCTTTATAGATATTGAAGGAGCCTTCGGACAGAACAACTGTTACAGCTTTTGTCCTGGCAAAATACGCTCTATTTAGCATATACGTTTTAACTTAAATTAGTGTCTATATTAGAGCCTGGCTTGAATTTGGTCTACTCGGTCGCCCGGTCGTATTATTCAGAGGAATTTAAATGTTGTTGCCTAGTAAATAGAATTCAGATTCGCCGTTAATGGACATGAAATGTAACTACGCGCTTAAGAAGGCACGAAGTGGATGAAGATAGAAGAATGTTGCTAAACTAGTTAGGTAGTCAGTCAGTCTTTGTAAGCAACTGGATTTTAATCAATCCGATTTTTTTCAGTGCATCAACAGTTTCAGTGCTTGGATTGTGGAATTACTAGTTAATATTAGGACATTGACGTACCTTCTCCAGTGCTTTCCATACGGCTAGCTACATTAATAGTGTCTCCAAAGAGACAGTAACGAGGCATCGTGGTGCCCACAACTCCAGCGACACATGGTCCTGTGTTGACACCAGCTCGGATGCGAAGTGGTTCCTCCGGCCGGTGCGGAACTGTAGCACCTTCCATACCCCTCATCAGGGCCAGTGCCATGTCTGCTATTTCTGAAGCATGTCGATTACCTGAGAAAAGTAACGTTTGTCATCATTGTTTGCTATTCTAGAACAGTGTGTAATATGTAGTATTTAAATATACCCGATTATATCTAATGTGTAGCAATGGTGAAGACGTAAAACTTTATAGGTACATTTTTGTGATTTCATCATTTACCAAAACATACCGTTTCTCTGTGGCAGCCCTGAGACGACCATGTAGGCATCTCCGATCGTCTCCACTTTGTACACATTGTACTGCATTATTTTGTCATCGAACAACCTGTAATACATAAATAGGAACTTCAAAACAATAACTCTTTGACATTGGTTCCTTGGCGGAAAGGTTGTCGTCTTCTTTGGGACGCAACAAGTATTTATACTGCTTCGCACTTAAGACAAACGTCGCAGTTAACGGGTTCGGTGGCTAAAAATGCCAAACGAAATTCCGTAAAATATTCTGCTTTGGAACCGATGTAGGTACCATTTCGTACCGGTCGCTTCGGAACTTATTTAAAGCATTGGATCGCCTCAGAGATTTGAGCTGCGATTATCGCTCTGGGTCGTGATTGGTTCAACAAGTGTCCATCGCCATCCAGGGAAGCAATACTACCAGTATAATGGGAATTTTTGAGCCGGGCGCGATACTGGGCGGGATTTTATTTAGGTTAGTAATATTTGATGAAATCTCTCACAAATCCCAGTTTTTTGTATTTTAGTGCCTATTGACGAAGCTTAGTGCTGTTCTTTGGGGTATAAATTAGACAATTTCACATGTAATTTGTTAACCTACGAAATGAATAAATGAATTTTAGTGATTAAAAACTCTTAAAGTAACATCAGCCATACCGACGAACGTTATAAATATGTGGTTTATAAATAAGTCGGTCATTTACAACAAAGATTTCGATGAAATACAGAAGAAATACTTGTACGTGTAGCCGTGGTAGCCTATGGTTTGAAGTATGAACCCGGGCTCGCACCTCGTGACTTTTTCGGAATTTATGTGTGATATGTAATTTGAAATGTACCATGAGGATTTCGTGAAGAAAAACATAGCTATAAAACCTGCACTTCGAAGAACTTTCGCAGCCTTTTAAAAAGTATGAAGTCCCCGAAAGGGTTGAGAACTATACCTAAACCCTCGACTGAGCGGAGATCCACGCCTCGCAGAAGATATAAAAATGGGTTGATGATGAACAACACAGACATCTATGTTAACGATGATAGGCTTTTTGGTAGCTAGGATCAATTTGGTGCGAATTAACAGAAAAAGATTGTTTGCAATGACTGCTACACGATCTAGGGCAAGTCAGTTGGCCCCTCTTCCAGACATACTAAGTCCGGACATTGTCGCAGGACACTGCGACCGACATCTCCGGTACTAGCCCATAGAGCTAGTAGAGGATAAGCTAGGTTTCTGGGAACTGGAGAGACACCTCGGCGTCGGTGTGCGTACCTTACAGCTCCGCCACCAAAGCGGTGACAGCCGTTAGTTGTGCAATGCGCAACGGGATGCGAACGTGCCTACAGCTCCGGTAGGTACCTATCTGGAAAATAGGAGAGTACTGTAGGTGCACCCCGGGCGGCTCACCCAAGGCACTAGCCTCTTGAGAACCGGATAAAGTCATGACAACGGTCTGTGACAACCCTATACCTTCCGAGCTCGCGCTAATATCACTGTACTATTCACTTGGCCTTAAGAACTTACTATTGCGTTTGATATTCGGATGCTGAGAAGCAATAACCTGACAACCCAGATGCGAAAATGGCAGGAAAAAAATGTTTTCGGTGTGTTTCATAGTCTGTTTTAAAGTTACTTATAAAATAAAAATTTTTACTATCGTGCTTGTTATTGTTGTTGAATCATAGTAATAAATCACCACAATTCATAATTTCTGAGGTGACAACAGCAAAAATTTTTATTATACACGTAAATTTTAGAACAAACTATCAAAAACAACGAAAAAATCTTCGCCATTTTTCCAAAACTGTGATCATGTTGGTTGACACGTTATTTTACTTATCAACATCCATTATAAAATAATACGCTCCAGCGTGGTCATTATTATTGAAATATTATAAAGGAAAACGAAATGAATAGAAGAATATATCTAGATAAAAACCAACCTGTACAACATATTGAGCATATTGATCACCTCCATAGGACTACTATTGGCAGATAATGTAGTAAAACCGACAATGTCACTGAAGAAAATGGTGACAGCATCGAAGGATTCCGCGGGGACCGAGCGTTGGGCTTTCAATCTTCGTAATACAGGTAATGGTAGCATTCGAGATAGGAGAATGTCACTCTTCTGCTTTTCCAACATCAATCTTTGAGTGCTTATCTCTATAGATCTGTTGAAAGTCTGGAAAGGAAATAAGTTACGCTTACTTTTACGCCAAAAAGCTTCTAATATTATGGAAGGCAATGCTTGAAGGCTCAGTTTTAATGCTTTGATTGTTTATTATTTATCATGGTTATTGCCTACCGAATGTCAAGCACTTTTGTTTTGCTACAGAAACTTAATAGCATACGAGTAGATAATATATTTTTTTTAAATAAAGCCTTTACGGATGTGATATTCAATGTCCATACAGAGCGTTTGACGTTAAAGTTTCGGATATTTCTAGTTTTCTTTATTATATTTATATTAACTGCCTCCGTGGCCGCACGGTTACCGTCCCGGACTGCACGCAGAGATCGATTCCCTGGTCGGGAGAAATATGTGTATGGCCTACATTTAGTTCTCTCGCGAGTTTGGGTGTAATTTATGGTTGTCTATGTGTGTATCCATAGTACCCGCGACACAGGGTTTCCCTAGTGCGGGGCTATGAGTGTGCTGCGTTATTATTATTATTCTTAATAAGTTATAAAGTTTAAAGGTTTTTGTTATCTCTTCTGGGCGCACTTAACGATTACAGTCTGTATACCGGATATATGCAAAACAACATATGAAAAAATATGAAGGTAACTCCTAAATCAACATACGTAAATAAAAAAAGATTTATCTTTCGAGAATCACACATTGCTATAAAACACAATACCTGAACTGAACAAATAGAGCGTGAATTTCCCCATTCAAAACTGAATCGCAATATCAGGTAGCAGTGTATATATTTTCGTGTGACTACGCGTGTATTATAATACGAACAATTTATGAATTGGTAATCATAGAATTGTAAATTTTTTGAATTCATGAACTAAAAAATTCGATTCTGGTACCCACAAACTGACGGGTCAGCGCATACATTGAGTAGCGGTGTTAGCTTACAGGGAGCACGGTTGCTGCCAGTTGGAAGGTCGAACGGTTCGAGTCCATGTTACAGCACGAACCGATGACATTTAATTTGTTAATGCTTAATCGCAATACCATAATACGATAAAACCTGCACGTTGCAAAAGGTTCACATCTCTTGGAAAACATGTGAAGTCACCAACCCACATTGGGCCAAGACAACAATTGGCGAGAACTTTACGTCTGTTGGCAAATCCTTTAACCACCATGGTAAGCATTACAATGTATGACATCGATACAATAAGAAAATTACACGAAATATTTCAGAATAAACAATTTATTATTGTAAAATCACGTATAAGAAATATTAGTAACCTCGCCTTGCCGCTAGATGGCGATGCGATCAAAATAGAACGAGCTATCGAAGTCACTAAATTACCATTATAAGCTGTTCCAAATCTATAGTGATAGTGTTTTGTTTTAGTGTTGGATTTTGTCAAACAGTATCAGTACCGTAGTACCGTGGACAAACGTTACAGTCTATACCTATAGGGAATTGTGCTAGACAGGCAGAAACTAGTGAGTGTTTACCAACAATGTTTTATCCATAGTTGCGGAATTAACGTAAAGCCCCTGGTAAAGTCGCTATTAGTTGCACAATACATTAAACCCTTCCGATTCCTATTTACAATTATTATATTATTAAAAAGAAAAAAACAGTCGAGTTGTTGAAAATAATGATGTTATGTATGTACTTTTCCTTGTGGAAAGGCAAAGATCCATAAACCATGCAGCCAGGTCTTTTTTATATTTTAAAATTTACCCATAAATGGTAACCATGTAACTATTTTATTCATATTATCCCACTCTTTTATTGTGTAGTCAGAAAACTCTGTTGCTTATTAATCTATGATATTGAAGTGTTGAGTCATCACCGTACGTGTGTATGGAACGCCGCATCTAGTAGTACGCTAATACATAGATATGGTTGGGTTTGACAGTCGTATTCAGTCATAAAGATAAAATGTTAGAATGTAGCTTTGACTAGTGTACTAAATCACATCTAGTAGGATGTATAAGAAAGTGAAACAATGACTTGAACTTATATTTGCAGAAATTTACAAAAATCGATTTCGAGTTTGTGGTACATTATATTAAGGGCCGTAAATGAGATATTGAGAGCATAGAAGCCCGAAGCTGAATGTTGTTAGTGAAGTATGTTATGTGTCAACCCTAACGGCAAATCACGGCACTACAAAACGTGCTTAAAGTTAAACGTGAGTAACCTGTCGACAGGGCGCGACTAGCGCTATCAGATCTCGCGCTTGCAGATACAATTCGATCCTCACATTGGTCCCACCGATTAGCTTATAGCAATTTATTTTAGCAATTTGTAATTTATTTTTATTATAGATTTAATTTTGTTTTGATTATGTTTCTTTAGTCCTCCAGGAGTGAGTAAGAAAAGGAGAAGCTTCTCAATTCGACGGTATATTATTTATATGTATGTTTTGCGATAATTCGGGCCCATTCCGGCGAATCCTATATAAATTTGAATAAAGTATTCCACCTCTAATGGTGGCCAACTAGGGGATGAATCCGGTTTTGCGTACTTTCCGGTAACCGATTTCAATAATCTTGGCAAATGGATGTAATTCCACGAGCTTTTGAGGTAGGTTTTCTTTTTTATAAAAGATATATTATGATGTTTTGCCCTTGTTTTTAATCATTTCACCGGTAGTATTCATTCAACCGGATATCAATACATTAAACTGGAGTCTTCACCTAATTTGCCGCCCGTAGACGTGGAATATATTCTTCAAATGGGACCACTGAGGTACCCCCTTTTCAATAAAAAAAGAATCATCAAAATCGGTTTACAAAATATCGTCGGAGTGTCGCGTAACAAACACACGAAAAAAAAACTCCATTTTTGAAGTCTGTTATAATTAAATATATGAATGTCAAGGCAGTAAAAACAATAACACAATGTAAATCAAAGTTTTTTTTATAATATCAAGTGACGGGACGAACGCGTCGTGCGCCTGATGGTAAGCTACACGCCTGTCCATAACAGTTGCAGTGTCACTCAGAGCTTTAAATCGCAAAGATCTGAGGGGATATAAGTTGACAAGTCCCATGTGCCTGTAATTTCACCAGCACCCTTACCGTTACGAAAATAAAGTTTTTTTTCTAATGTGGAGTAAGTGTCCCCAGTATTTGCATTTGTAAGAAAAACCAACCTGGATAGTGTTAACGGTGTGCCGTATGAGAAGAACCAACACAGGTGAAGCTAGTAGCACGATGGTGAGGATGGCAACACCGATGGCCAGAGTCTGCCGCGCTAACCACACTTCACGCCTCACTGATTGTCTGAGAATAAAAAAGTTCTTTTTTTAATTCAAAAAGTTGTCGAGACTCGATATGTTCTGAAAATAATTCCCAACTGCAGAATCAATTAAATATGCCTAACTACGAGAGCATGTTACTGCACCCCGTAGCATGGCTACCCATCATAGTCGCGACTCGCGCGATAAAATTGAAATAAGCGCGCCCTATTGGTTATCTAACTTAGATCTGACTGAGACGGCGCGACTATCATGCGTAGCCATACTACGGGGGCAGGTATGGACAGGCGCGTCGCTTAACACTAGACGCACGACGTGTTAGTCCTGTCACTTGGTACCATAAAAAATTTTTTTTAGGATACTCTTTCTATAGTTATAATATAAACTATTTTCGCAACGTGAACTTTTTTCTGATAAATTTTGTACATTTTTAAAATAATGCTACAGTTTTACGAGCATATAATATAATAAATTGACTGAATAAGTATTTATAAATAGCCTTCAACAGTCCTAAATTGTACTAAATACAGCCGGTAGAGTGTACCATTTCTTTGTCTTAAGTATTAGGAAGGAGGACGGAGGTGGAGATTTATAGAGATCAAACGTGCGGAAGCTCCATGAAACTTCGAAAGTGGAACCATTCAAAAAGTTCGTTTTCCAAATTAGTTTGATCCTAAATTAACAGTGGGCTTCACGTAATCTCTCACGTAATAAGCAGGCCTTTTTGGCAACATACTTTGTTCACATTCATGTACCCTAATGTTGGACTAATATTTATTATAATTCTTTTTATACCAAGTGACGGAATGAACAAGTAAACCTGGTGGTAAGTGACACGCCTGTCCATAGCAGTTTCAGTGTCACTCAGAGCTTTAAATCGCGAAGATCTGAGAGGTACTACCACAGCGCCCGTTACTCTGAGAGTCGTATTCCAAAACTCTACTCAATTCTCAAGTCAGGATTTGAGCAGACTTGAGTATGATTTCAAGCACTGGAAATACGACCTTAACGGCAAGGACTTGAGTATGATTTTCAGTGCTCACTGCAATACTCAAGTCCTGACTTGAGTATTGAGTAGAGTTCTGGAATACGACCCTGAGACTCTGGCAGACTTTAAGGTTTATGACTCAGGGTGACGAACGCAGTGGCAGTACCCATCGGATCCTTGTGATTTAAAGCTCTGAGTGATACTGCAACTATTATGGACAGGCGTGTCGCTTACCGCCAGGCGTACGACTTGTTCGTCCCGTCACTTAGTATAAAATATTATTAATAAAAAAACATAAGTTGAAAAGTACCATGTGTCTGTAATTTCACCAGCACCCTGACCCTGCAAAGCTAGACTGCTAATAAACAAAAAAATTAGGCGTTACTTTGAGGCAAAAAATGTCAATAAAAATGGAACTAAATTAATTAGCCACAGCGCGAACCCTGATGAAGGTTAGACCGAGAAAAATAGCTGAGCTCTCTCCGCATATAAATATTAGAATAAATAACACAAGCGCAAGTACAGTCTTCGAGATATTCTTCAGCAGACACTGCAACAATCAACAACGTAAGCCCCTGTGAATGCCTAGTAGAGAGGCGAAATACAGAAGCGCGGAGACTCGAATCGTGTGACACTCGTGCATACTCGATGCGTTGAAATCATACCGTCGCGACCTTCAAGTGATAGTGTTCTGTGGTCTCGTCAACGCTACGTACATGCATGCTACAGGCATGCGGCAGAGCCCGTATGGCACCGACGCCAGACCTAATAAAGATTAAGACCGATCTTAACCTTTTCTAAGTTCGCGAATTAGGAAAGTAATTGTCTTATATTTTTAATTCTTTTTTTAGCTTTCATTGAAGTGTTTTAAATACGAGGTACTCAATTATCAAGCGGGTTGACCTGCTCCATTATAAACTAATTTAGCATAGCAGTATTTCCAAGCTTTTAAAATCTAGCTTCTAAACAAAGGGTATTATAGATTTTTAGGCTTTCGTGGTTATTCACTAATTACAGGTTTCTTACTATGTTACACACTCCGTGGTCACGGTTGACTGGCCAGCGGCTGATTTACAAAAAGAATATCATACCGTGACAAAAAAACCTGTCATTAGTAATAATCGTACACAAAGGGGCTTGGAAATAATTTGAAGTAACTTTACTCACTGCACAAAATCCCAAAGCCGTGTCTGAACTAGCTTCAACTTGTTAATGCAATCTTGAGATTCCAAAATGTAGTACGTCATCCAGGCTCCTGACTTCACCTCTTCCAGACTTTCATTCCGCACTAAAGGGAATTGCTTGTAACTGTGCATAAATAAACACCTCTATTAGTTATCCAAAGCGACTAGACCTCTTCCATTAACCTTTTGACCGCCACTGACAAAAACTAGTTGCGTTCGCTAGACCCCAAACCTATATAAGTAGTGATGGACATATTATGAATTTCCACCTTATATTAATTCAATTCTCCTGAGTCAAAGAAGAACATAACTGAACGTAAAATGCAACAATGAATTCACACTTAAATAGAATAACAAATAACACAAGGAATATCTATTATTATTTGTTAATTTCAATTGAAAATTCCTTTAACAATTTAAACTAAAGCATCATTGACGTATCAACCAAGTTACCTAAGCGTCCAAAGCGGTCAAAGGGTTAACAATTGGGTCTAAATCATAAGGACAATGCAAATCTGCAGAATCATACCAATCAGTTTTGTAGGTATGTAATTTTTAAAAATTTGACAATTCATTCCACAGAATTGTATAATAAAAACATTCCTTACAAGAACAAGTTTATCATGACATTAAAATGTACCTACAACATATTCTATATTTCATTATAAAGCAGACGCAGTATGCATCTACGCACACATATATGTACGCACGCCCACACGCTATTATACAAGTGTTTAAATAATGAAAAAAAAAAATTATCATTACAGCTTCTTATAATAGATTTTATTACACTGTAGACCCAGTGCGGCCATCAGAGGACGCGGCAGACCACCGCAGCGCTGAATGGACGACATCCAAAGACACGGAGGTCGAGACCGGATGAGTCGGGCACAAGATCGCCAAAAGTTAAAAAAGAGGGCAATGGCCTACATCCAAGATTGAATAACAAAACGGCCGCCATGATGACGATATTAGATTTTATTATCGTTGCGCTAATGTGGAAACTTATCATGCACAAGATTTTGATCTATGCAAACAACAATGTTTCTTGTAAACATTTTAAACGATCTATATACACACATATATTAAGCGAGGGAAAACTTTTTACAGCAAAGAACTTTTTCGAGTGAACTTTTTGATTGTTTAAGAAATTGCCGTTCAGAGACACGAAGCAACATTTACGTTTCACAGCTTTCTTCAATGTGACGGCGAGAGCCACAAGTCTTGTAGGTACGACGTATGCTGTACTCGTATTCAATTAGGCACGTTACACGTAAGCAAAGTTTTATTCGACTTTGATTGTATGTCGAAAAATAATACCCGGTAGGCAAACATGCTGCAAACAGGGATCATGACCCGATAAAATGTGAAGGTGCTTTCCCACGGGTAAGACGAGATGAAATTTGTAACGCAAAATTTAAATGCTCTCCTAGCTCATCTTTAGTGGAAATGGTCTGAATTGACGAGTATTGGCCAGGCGAGAATATAAATATTTGTTGATGTAATATTGAGCCGTTTTGCTGCCTACTTAGAGTATTACACTCTGCTACGGAAACACGATTTCTCGCTCAAGCTCGCGAGTACCCGCACGAATTAGATCACGCGAGCTCGCATTGGCTGTTAATATCAATCGCGAGATTGTAAAGTAAACTAACTGAACAGCACTGCATTGTCACTATCCACAATCACAGCGTTAGCTATTAATGGCAATTTTTGGTGGAAATAGGCCCATGAGATTTCAATTCTCGTCTCGCCTTGTCTCGTCCCGCCTCACTGGTGGAGAACCACCTTTAGGGTCACCTCAAATTAGTGCAGCGACGCATCTAATATTTAGGCAGAGAATGTATATTATAATTATTGCATTTTGATAAGAGCGTGACAAGTGTAAGAAGCTCTCATTTATTAGCTGCATTTAACGGAAATGTAACCTTATCTAATGGAAGATAAAGTTTATGTTAGTTGCACGTTGTAATGCAGCACAGCGGCGCGTCGTACCGTTGCGTCAGATCTACCTTAAAAACTTAAACCTATAGATGAAAGTTTCGCTGATTTTCAGTTGTAGTTCTTCTACTAAACTACTTTATTTACTTTGAGATCTTTGCACGTGTTACAAACTACCTTGAAAACTTTTGAAAACACTCACAAATCTAGAACTTCGTCGAGAACTTGGAATTCAGCCCTATTCTCTGCCTGGAGAAACTGTAATGTGGCGCCCAAATGTTCGATTCCTAGAGCTTGATGGTACGCGTATATGACCAACTGCTCTTGCGTTTCGAGGTCTGCCACTGAGATCAGCGCTAGGGAGAGCTCTTCCATGGCGAATAGAAACTCGTAGTTGGCAGTTAGTTTTCTGAAATATTACAATCAGAATTTTTTAACATTGTGTAATGAGTTCAATTGCAATAGAACAGAATGTGTTTTCCATGTGAAGAAATCAAACACTGAATTTTACTTTACTGAACGAACGATCGAATCGAAAACTCATTTCTTTGTAGCATATTCTAAGCCTATAAGATTCACGGAGGTCTCCATAGAACACTGTCAAATAGATGAATTTGAATAAATTTTTGAACCAATTTTCATGATAATTTTTTTAGATTATAAAAGGTACCCTACCTTAGTTTTTAAATTGGTCCCATTTAAATTTGAAAGAAATTAACTAGTGTATGAATCTGGTTTCGCGCAGTTTCCGGTAATCTGTTTCAATATAACGTGGCAAATAGATGTAATACCACGAACTATTGAGGTCGGTTTTATTTTTATAAAAAAATGTATTGTGATTTTTTGTTTTTAATCATTTCAGTTGTAATATCCATTCTATGCTTTAACTGGGGGTCTACTCCCAAAAGTAAAATCCGATACACGTAGCTGCGTACGTCCTTCGTTTTAATAATGTCTTACTCTGAAACGCGTTAAGTGCCCGATTGCGGAACGATTGCGGAATGAAACGCGTGATTTATATGGGTGTCCGATATCGGATGTTGATAAAGCTACTACGAAAAGCCATTTTGACAGGATTTTGACAACGTGTATCCGTGCTTCGTATCGGACACGGAAGTAACGACGAGTCGAAGATCGTAATTTGACACAAGTAGTTGCTTTCGTGTCGTATTTTGACATTATTTTCATCGTAGAACTGACATAAAACCAACGGTAGCTCGAGGGTATCGTTTGTACATCGTTTGTGTAAAAAAATAGTGAATACTGTTAGTTGTGGAGGCGCTCGGACAAGAAATACGTGAAGATGAAGTAGAGAGACGACGTCAAAGGAATCGCAGTTTCTTGGTATCGCTTACTGATGGCAAAGTTGTAAGCGATTACCGGCTCGCTGCGAGAATTTTGTATAATCTTTTGGAAGATGTAACACGCATGGTGTTCAAAAATATTCTAGGTTTATTGACCCACCACCACCAAGAAAAGTTATTTCTCGATCTGCAAATATGGTTTGTTTGTCAGATTGCACATGCTGTTGCTGCTGTTATAAAGTGTGAAGACAAAGAGCAATACGAACGTGACATTAATAAAACTATAAGTGACATCATAGGATGGATGAATGAAAATGGTCTCAGTATAAACCTAACAAAAACTAACATCATGCAATTTCACTCGTCTAAAAGACTACTGATAGAGTAAACATCTCGTTTAATCTTGTTAATATAGAACAAGTTAAACACACAAAATTTTTGGGTCTTATCCTTGACAGCAATTGCAACTGGAAAGGCCATGTTGAGAACTTGGTTCATGGAACATGTTGTAACAATTTGTCACGGTTTATGTACCCATTGAGAAAATTAGTACAGAATGCGTCTGTGGATGCGGCCTTAACAGCTTATTTTGGTTTTGTGCAGTCTATATATACTGTATAATTTTTTTGGGAAACTCAGTAGAGTTTATGCAGGTATTTAAGATACAAAAACGCTGTGTACGTATCATCTGCGGTGGGTCTCAAATGGATTCGTGTAAGCCATTTTTCGACAAGTGCATAATCCTACCTTTACCATGCCTGTACATTAAGGAAGTTGCTGTATTTGTCCAGAAATATCCGTCATATTTTAAAATCGCAGATAAAAGGAACCATAGAAGTTTAAGACATGGGCAAAGAATGGTTTACTCGGGCAATCATACCTCAGCATTTAACCACAAAAGCTTTTATGTGATGTCGGTCAAAATATACAAAAGCATTCCGAATGAATTTAAAAGATTAGAGCACATAAAATTTAAAAATGCTCTTAAAACTTTATTATAGTGTACAAGAGTTTTTGGACGACAGTAACAAATTTGGTGACTAGCGATGTGACACGTTTATTAATATATTTTTTTCTCATATTGTGTATGTAATTTAATTTTATTCTGTGACATTTAAATAATATTGTACACCTTAACTGGTAGACTATAGAGCGCAAACCAATGTTATATTTTAAGACCTTATGTTATTACCTATAGGGTAAAACCGGGATAGATGCCGCAGTGGGATAGGTGCCTCGTTTTCAAAAACCTAACTTCCCCAAATCGCAACAAAAAATAATTAGTTTAAATAAGGAGTATAGACACCACTCATCAAAGTTCCTGCGGGGCTTCGTGTGGAATAGACGCGTTTAGCTTATGCATGCGCTTATCTCCGCGACGAACACGACATCGGTTCAAAATTTCAGACGCAAGTATTTACTATTGCATAACTTTGTAAGTTATAATAAATTCCGTTTTATTTTTATTATAACTATACACTGGTTCATTAACTGCGCACCTCGGTGTCAGTAATCGCTCTTTTGAATATACAGGGTGTCCAGTAAGTAGCACGACAAACTGCGTGGGGTGATAGCCTAGTTCGAGGCCTACCTAAACAACATAAAGTATGTTCCGCAAAAATCAGTGGTTCTCAAGTTATGTAGTATTTAGTATAATTTAAAAAAATCTCTAACCTGCATCAGATTTTCATTTTAATTTACATAAAAAACTAATTTAGGGATTTTTTTTTCAGCTGTAATTATTTTTGAATAGTGGTTCAACATAATAGTAAATGATAGGTTCCTAAGAAAAGCCGCAAAAAATATTAAAAAGGTCGTCAAACTTTTTTTCCCAGTTTTTTATTTCTTGACCTTTTATGTTAACCTAAAGTGGTGTAAAGAAAATGTATGGGGCTGTTTTATTTAACCTTTTTAAAAACATGTCTGTTTATTGCTGATTTAAAAAAAAACACTTGTGGATTCTCATTCCAAAAAACCAAAAAATGCTACTTTTATACAAAGTCATAAAGAAAGTGAACTTTTGACTAATGTGTAAAACCTTTCAGTAATGTTTTTGTTAGCATATTGATACTCAATATTTATTGCCGGTGTGAAAAAAAGCAGTATAAGGTACAGGTAAGGTACATTACTAAAATAAAACAAAAAATACAGTTAATATTTTTAATAAAAAAAAATTACAGCAAATGTTCGAATTGCCTGCCTCTAGCTCGAATACATAATCGACAACGTCTTAAAAATTGCGTTCGAAGCCTTCTTAGATTCATTTGCGTGATTTCGCTTGAATCTGCGTTTATTCTGGCTCGCAGTTCTTCATCATTTCTTATTGGTTTGGCATAAATTTTATCTTTTAAACAACCCCAATAAAAGAAATCTAAGGGATTGAGGTCAGGTGACCTTGGTGGCCATAATATTGGTCCAAGTCTTCCGATCCATCTTCCTGGAAAGACTGCATTCAAATGGTTTCTTACTTCTACTGCATAATGGGCCGGACAGCCGTCATTTTGCAATCACATCTCCTGGCGTAAGTCCTCATTAACATCGGCAAGCAGCGGGGGCAAAGTTTCTCTAAGAAATTCTAAATATCTTGCCCCATTTAAAACTTGCGGCAGTTCCACGGGTCCTATGATTTCCCCGTTGAAAATCCCAGTCCATAAATTGATTTTAAATTGGTACTGGGACCGATCATCTCTGGCTTCATGTGGGTTTGCCAGTTGCCAGTTGTGCAAGTTGTGCATATTAAAAAATCCATCTTTTCGACACGCCGATTCGTCGGTCCAAAGTATTTTGTTGAAGAACAATGGATCTTCTTGATGCATTTGAAGCATGCGACGACAAAAAGTCATTCTTTGTTCGTAATCTCTATCCATTAGCGTTTGCACACGTTGAATATGAAACGGGTAGTATCCATGTCTTTGAAGCACAGAATGAACCGTAGACTTAGGGATACCCGTGCGCAGTGAAATTCCCCGCACCGAAGTAGATGGATCGTCTTGTCGTTCTTGAAGAATGATGTCCTCGTCGGTAATTTGGGGCCGTCCACCGCCGCCTCGCTGACCAGGCAGTATTCCTTGCGTGTAGGCGTTATGGATTCGCGTAAACATTTCATGATGTGGATGTCTTCGGTCAGGGTATCGTTCCTGATAAAGGCGCGCTGCAGCACGGGAGATTTGGCCCGCTTCCCCGTAAATAACGTGCATTTCAGCGTACTCTCTTTGAGTGTAAGGTTCATAAACGCGGCGATTAGCTGCCATGTTCAACAACAACAACAACAGCACAGTGTTTTCGGCAGTTGAAGATTTCACAAAAAATCCAAATAGCTAAGTGCAGTCCGTAGTCCAAAAGCTTGCCTAGTTGTCGCAGGGTAATCACAAACACATTAAAGTCCAAATCGAAAGGCAGAAACAAGAGTCCGGTGTACATAAATAATAGGTCGGTCGGTAGGAGTCAAAAAGTACTTGGCGATGAAAAAGTTGTGCGTGTGCGCGTGATGACTAACGGCAACGTACTAGATCGGCCTGTCCAAACTGGTTCGGCAGGTAGATAGGTCGCTTGTGGGGTGGGGCAAGCCGTTCACTATTGTTTCTTTCCCATCCACAGGGAGTGAGAGAGAAATGGCACTATGGCAAACGTGTTTTAGATGCAGCCGAATTGCTGGGCTAGTGTTATTACGGTGTTTTAGAAAAGTAACGATATTCTTGATTTCTAGAAAATTTTTACTCATTGGTTAAAAATATTTTTATTTTATTTTATGGGAATGGGAATCCATAAGTGTTGTACTTTTTTGAAATCAGCAATGAACAGACATGTTTAAAAAAAGGTTAAATAAAACAGCCCCATACATTTTTTTACACCACTGTAGGTTAACATAAAAGGTCAAGAAATAAAAAATTAAGGAAAAAAAGTTTGACGACCTTTTTAATATTTTTTGCGGCTTTTCTTAGGAACCTAACATTTACTATTATGTTGAACCAATATTCAAGAATAATTACAGCTGAAAAAAAATCCTTAAATTAGTTTTTTATGTAAATTAAAATTAAAATCTGATGCAGGGTAGGGATTTTTTTAAATTATACTAAATACTACATAACTTGAGAACCACTGATTTTTGCGAAACATACTTTATTTTGTCTAGGTAGGCCTTGACCTAGGCTATCACCCCACGCAGTTTGTCGTGCTACTTACTGGACACCCTGTATGTAGCTTGGTTAAATAATAAAAAGGCATCTATCCATATCGAACAGGATAGTCACTTCGATTTTTCGCAGTATAGGAAAAGACAAGAAAGTTAGGAAAAGAAAATAATAAAATACATTATTTTAGTAAAAAAGACAAATAAATGATAATAGTTTAAAAGTAAGTAAAAGTAGTTTAAAGACAAATTAGTCATATTACAAACAGCGAACATTTTTGTATGGAATGCTTTGATAGCTACAGAAATACGAAGTGAAGTAGGTAGTAACTTTAAATACGTATATATTTATTGTTATAGATGTATACACAATACATTATTATACACAAAATATTTTTCTATTTTTCTATTTGTTATATTTTGTAATTAGCTGTCAATTTTATTTTACTCCTTAATTTTCATTATTTTTGTTAAATTTTATTAGTGTTACTTTTCTGGTAAACTTGTCAAAAGGGTGTGAGCCTGGTGATCTGTAACACAGGTCCCCAACCTAGTACAGACTCCAGCTCTCACTAAGGTGCTTCATATTTAACATGAAATGTAACAAATCTGCATTTTGTACACCTTTTTGAGAGAAATAAAGCATTTTGTATTGTATTGTATTGTATTGTATTAAAGATTACAAATAAAACATTTTATTATGAATTTTACTATTTTAATCTAAAGAGCATCTATCTTTCGTAGTATTTTCATCGTGTGGCGTCTATCCATACATGTAGGCCATACATCTATCCTCAAAAAAAATAGGTTTGCAAAAAGTCAATTTCTTCAAAATCAGTAAATGTTAGGTCAATAAAATCAAGTCTTAATGTAATATAAAAGATTAAACTAGTTATATCCATAGGAATTATTCATGGTAAACCAATAATTTTGAAATTAAGAGGCCCTTTCAAAAAGTGGGAAATCTAACCCGGTTTTACCCTAGTTATTAATAAAT